CTCTCTCTCTCTCTCTCTCTCTCTCTCTCTCTCTCTCTCTCTCTCTCTCTCTCTCTCTCTCTGTTTAGACAGGGCCTCACTTTGTATCCCTGGCTGTCCTGGAACTCACTACTTAAACAAACTGGCGTTGAACTCACAGAGATCTGCCTGCCTCTGCCTCCTGAATGCCGGAATTTAAACGTGTGAGCCATCATGCCTAACCCATCACACCCAGCCAATCTCTGTCTTTACCAGCTGTTTTAGTTCATGGCTTGTCATGATAACCGGTTCTTTTTCTGTCCATTATTCTTGAATCCAACGTAACACCTTGGCATTTGTTTTGATTGACATTGGGATGGTTCCAAATGTTACATCCTAGACACCAGTTTTGTTTTGATTGGTACTGTGGCTCACTGTGCATGCCCATTCTTGCAAAGAAGATCATAATCTCCAGTTAGCTTCAGCAGCTCCCATTCCCACGGTCACAACAGAGGCACTCAGTCATGCATATATGCAAGCTCCCAGATGTTTCAAACTTAGACTTCCCATTGGCTACACTGAGATCACTTTCCACATCCTCATTCAAGTAACAGTTGTATAGATGAGAATGACTGCCCCATTTTTGCAAGTTGTAGACTTAAGTATAAAAAAACACTTGCTTCATAAAATTGATGTTAATTAGTGCAATCATTGCAGTAGAGCTACAATAGTAGAGTAATTTCTTCTACAAAAATCACTTACAGGCTAGGCTGGCAGCTCAGCTGGGGAGGTAGCTCAGTGGTAGAGCACTTGCCTAGTATGCATGAAGTCCTGGGTTCTATCCCCAAACCAAACAAACCAATGAGCCCTTCAATTTCTTACCAGTACTATGGCTATTTCAGACCTTCTTTTCTGTTTCTTTGGATCTTTTTCCACCTGTTGAATTCTTCAAAAACAAACAAAGAAACAACAGAAAGATAAAACATAATATCTTATGTACTCTAGGTGGGCCTCAAAGCCCCCATGGAACTAAAGGTGATCTTGGCCCTCTGATCTTCCTACCTTTACCTCCTCCCATGTACTGGAATTACAGGTGTGCACTACCACATCTGTTTTTATGGGATGCTGGAGATTGAATTCAGACCTTTGTGTATAGCTATGTCTTCAGCCCAGTGCCTGCTGGATTCTGATGCATTACTCCCTTGAGATCCCAGCAGCCCAAAAAGCCAAGCACTGTGATACAGACCTGTAATTCCAAGGCAGGAAGATCAGAAGTTCTAAGTCATACTCAGCCACATAGTGGATTTGAGGCCAGCCTACATGAGACACCTTCTCAAAAAGAAAAAAGAAAAGAGGCCATTCTCACATTCATCTCACTTGGTTTCTAAATCCTTAATATCAGAAAACATGGACTTTGCTCCTTCGTGACAGTCACACATTCTCAACAACCTATAAAATCTTAGCTTTGCTTTTTTCTGAGTTTTTCTTTGTTTTCTCTTCTTTTGCCTTGCACACTTAACATGCTGTGTTTATAGTTTAGCAGCTTGCGGGCAGACACGACAGCACACTATACTATTCAATAGCAAACGGTTTGGGAGCAATAAAATAGAGTGAGTGCAGACGGTATTTAGTGCATGACTAAATGTTTCCATGTATATTATTCCTTAGCCTTTACCCTAGTGCCGGAGATGAGACAGGGTAATAAAATGAGGGGCCTGACACCAAGGTTGGCTATGCGCCTGTCTGAGCACTGTTCGTCTTTGGACTTCTCCTATTCCAGCCTTCTTGGAAAAATCAGAATGATTTCTTCATAGGCACTTATATGATGTTTTCACACCTCAGAAAATGATGAGACCCTCATGGCTGGCAAAAGCACGTGCTATGCGTGTGTCTGTTCTGGAAGTGCTAAAGTCCATTTTCTAACTAGATTTCAAAACACATGGACACGATACTGAAAAGTATTTTCCAGCATCCTGCTAACTTGCTCCATCACTTTCGCTTATTTTGTCTTTCCCTCCTACTTACATAATAAAGAGCAAGTCACATTTATTGGAAAAACTCATAGAACATGGAAGAAAATGAAGAAGTCCTCCTTCATTCCACCATCACGTATACACACTCAGAACCAGCTCGTGTGCAGCCTTCTGCAGAGGCAACACTGCCAGCAGTTAGATGTTCTTCCCGGTGAGCCTTCTATGATTATACACCACAGCGGGCGCCCATCACATTTTAACCACTGTGGCCACAAATTATATGCATAACGTTTATTGTTCAGTAATTTGTTCTCATCCATTTATCCCCCTTAGTATATTCTGGAAATCCTTTTCTGTATAGTTGGCCTAGTCTGTCTGGCTGTCTGGCTGTCTCTTTTTCTGTCTCTCCAATGGAGAAGGTGGAACTCAAGGGCTCATGTAGGCTACATGAGCATTGTACCACAGAGGTACACCCTATTCACAGTTCTCTTTTTAATATCTACAGATAAATATAGTATTCCATAGTTAGAACATACTGAAAAATATTTAATCGCCATAGTACTAGTTATTTAGAGTTTTAAAAATATTTTTGCTACTATGGCAATATTCTTTTTTTTTTTGTTTGTTTTGAGACAAGTTCTTACTGTTTACCCCAGGATGGCCTCAGATTCATGATCCTCCTGCCTTAGCCTTCCAAGTGCTGCTCCTGGAATTAGAAGTACATACCACTTGCCTGGCACAAAAATTCTTTTAATGTATATTTATCTTACATTAGCACTATAATAGAATGCCTATCTTTTCATCCTTAGCATACCAGATAGTATCGATGGTTTAAATATTATAAAGTTTGTATTAGCTTGTTTGCATTTCTTCTATCTCTGGTCTTTATAATTTGAATAACTATTCGTAAAAATTTTAAAGATATTTATTAGTATGTGTGTGTGTGCGTGCGTGCTTGCTTGCTTGCATACAAGCGAGTGTGTGTGTGTGTGTGAGTGTGCTTGCTTGCTTGCATACAAACGAGTGTGTGTGCATGTGTGTGTGTGCGCGCGTGTGTAGAGGACTCAGTGTGGCAGTCGGTTCTCTCTACACCATGTGGGGCCCGGAGGTGGAATTCAGGTTGCCAGGCTTGGTGGCAAGCACGTTAAGCAGCTAAGCCATCTCCCTGGCCCCACTGTTTGATTTTAGATGCATACAAATCTGTTCATCCTACTCTGTCACATCTATTTTTTTTCCACATCTGGGTTTTATCTTTCTTGGGAAAATTTTCTCAAGCCTATAAATTATAAAAATAACTTTTGAAATGTCTTCGCCTGTCTTTAGTGTTTAATGTTTAGTACACCGGGAACTTCTTTCTTCCTAGTGTGTGGCAGTGTTGCATTTGTTTCCTAGAGCTGGCACAATGCGTGGCCATAGCTGGGAATAATGACTATAGACATTTGTTCACAGTCGTAGAGCCCAGAGCCTTGAAACAGCATGTTGGAGGCTTGGCTCCATCTTGGAGGCTCTGAGGGCGATGCCTTCCCACAGCATCCCTCCCCAGCAGCTGGGCTAGCAGCAGCTCTGGGCCTCGACTGCCTACAGTCTCGGCATTCCTGTCTCGCACCACTTTCCCCTCCCTGTCTGTTCCAAGGAGATTCTTGGGCTAATCATTGTCTCAGGGTAGGCTCCACTTTAATTAATATGGCCTCGTCTTAGTCCTTCCTTTAGTTCCCAAGGAGTGCCCACTGGGAGGCTCTGGGAGGACATGACTCATGATGGGCTATTCAGCTTCCAGGGCTGAGGCTAAGCTCACCTGCTTAGTGTGTACAAGGCTCATGTTCAATCCCTGATACCACAAAATGTGCCCCACTTGGGCGCTCATACCACAATTCCCCACCCGAGAGACGGAGGCAAGAGGATGGCCAGCCTGGGCTACAGAGTGAAACTATGTCTCAAACAAACAAATTTCAACTTGTAATGTTAGAATTAGGAGTTTTCCAGATGGGAAGTTAATGATTTCTATAGTTTTCTAGCTAGTTCTGACATAGTTGCCACAAATACATTTGGGCCTGGGTTGTAGCTCAGTTGGTAGAACACTGGCCTGCATGTATTGTACAAAACTGTGGGCCCAGTCTTCAGCACCCCATAAACTGGGAGTAGCATAGCATATCCGTAATCCCAATATTCAGGAGTAGAAGCAGAAAGATCAGGAGTTCAAAGTCGTCTTCAGCTACACATCCAGACCAACGTGGCCCATTTGTGATCCTGTCTCAAAACAAAAAACAAAAAACAAAAAAACAAAAAAAAAACAGGGCTGGAGATGTAACTCACTTGGTAAAGTGCTGGCTTGAAACCTGGTGGGACAGGCTGTGATCCTGGAACAGAGACAGGAGGGTAACGTTCAAAGTCATCCTCGGCTACATGAGTTGGAGGCCAATCTAAGATACACAGAATCCTGTCTCAGAAAAACAAAAACCATTCAAGACTGTCTTGTTCCCTTGATGTCTTTGCTTCTTCCTTACTGGTTCAATTATGATTGGTTGTGGAGTGTTTTGATATATTCTAGCCAAACTCCTTTTCTTTCCCCATGCCCTTTTACTCAATTCAAGTATTTCTTGGCTTTTAAAAAAAATTCATTATCTCTAATTTGCAAAAGTTGGGTTTTGATTGAGATCACATTGAGTTTATACATCAATTTAGGGGAAATCAATGTTTATAATATTGAATCTTTTGTTATAGGGCCACGTTGTCTATTTGCTCAGGCATTCATCTATTTGGTAAAGTTATACAGTTGCTTTCATATAAATCTTGCATAATTTCTGTTAGATCTAAAACTAGTCTATACACACACACACACACACACACACACACACACATACAGTATATGTATGCATGGGGGTTTGGGTCAGTATCTCAGGTACCTCAGACTGGTCTTCAACTCAACATGAAACCAATGATGATCTTAGGAAGTTGATCCTCCAAGGGGAAAAGGAGGTCGTGAATTTGAAGGAGAGTAGAGAAGAGTCTATTGAAGGGTTTGGAGGGAAGAAAGGAGAGGGAGAAATGTAATTAGATTATAATACCCCCAAAATACTGATCCTCCTGTTTCTGCTTCCCAAGTGCTAGAATTATAAGTGTTTGCTGTCACACTTAGACTGTTTTATACCATTTTTTGTTTGTTTGAGACTAGGTGTCTCTATGTAGCCCTGGCTTTTCTGGAACTCGATATATATAGATCAAGCTGGCTTTGAACTCACAAAAATCCGCTTGCCTCTGCCTCCTGAGTGCTGAGATTAAAGGTGTGAGCCACTGTTGCACGAGTTCTAATTGGTCTTAATATTAAAATCCCGGAGCTGGATATGGGGGAAATGCAGAAAGATTAGAGAAACAAAGGAATAAGCCACAGCCAACTCTTACTTGCTAACTCCTCAGCTGATAAAAGGAGCGAGCTACTGTCTCCTCTCACCTTATATTCCTCTCTCCACCAAGCCATATCACTTCCAGTCTGTCTGTATAGACCTCCAGACCTCTATGGTTAACTAGTGGCTAGCTCCACTCTCTGATCTTCTAGCAAGCTTTATTTGTTAGAGCACAAACAAAATATCACCACATACCATTAAGCCCAGCTAACCAAGTTTTAAATAGTCCTTCTTCCATTGTATTTTCTAATTGATATTCATTGTTCATATGGAAAACCATTTATATTTGTATACTGATCTTGTATCTAGCCATCTTACTGTGTTTCAACTGATTTTTTATTTTTCTTGCTAAATTAATGTTAGTAGAAAACAGTGATCTCAATAAATATTTTTCTTTGTAGTGTTGATGCTCTTCTGAGAGTTTATTATACACATACACTATTATAGCGGAAATTATAGTTTTATAAAAGTGCTAATAGTATCCAGGCTGTGGTGGTGCACACCTTTAATGTCAGCACTCCAGAAGCAGAGACAGGCAGATCTCTGTGAGTTCAAGGCCAGCCTGGTCTACAAAGCAAACTCCAGGACACCCAGAGCTGTTACACAGGGAAACCCTGTGTCTAAAGCACTAATAGTAGAAATTAAACAGCCAGCGGCAGATAGAGTGAGCACTGCACTTGACAGTCAACATAGAAGAACATATGCAAGGCCTGGTGAGATGTCCCAGTGGGTAAAGAAAGTATTTACAAGCCTAACTACCTGAGTTCCATCCCTGGAATCCACAGTGGAAGGAGAGAACAGACTCTTGAAGGTTGCCCTTTGACGTGCACCTGAGCATGTATACATGGTTCATACACACGATAATGATAATATAGGAAAACATGAAGTACCATCAAGGCAAAGATAAAACCTCAGAATGAAACAAAATAAACCATGGGTTGAGGGGGGAGCAACACCTTGATTAGTGCAGGCTCTCTGGCCTGCACCCTGCACTAATACTACTTAAAACTTTCCAGATCTTTGTAAGGCCTCTGCCAGACAGCTCCTTCATGCTTCCTGGCAATGTGGGTAAAGGTATATCAGCCTGGCTCCCACCTCACAGTTCAATCTGTGAACTGACCATTTTACACTCTCTGAGCCCCATCAGCGTGGCCACATTCACCCCCCACCCCCATGGTGATCTTGCTGCTGAGGCTCTTGCTGCTCTCTATGATGGCTCCTCCCCAAATAAGAGTTTAAATATTTATGGGCTGGAGAGATGGCTCGGCAGTTAAGAGCATTTGTTGCTCTTGCAGAGGACCTGGGTTCAGTTCCCAACACTCACATGGGGACTCCCAATCATCTGTAACTCCAGTTCTGGGGGAAACGATGTCTTCTGACTTCCACAGGCACCAGCCATACATGTGGTCCCCTGTTCATGCAGACAAAACACTCACACACAAAAGAAAATTTAAGATGTCTAAGTATTTATAGCTAATCAGCTTTTTCAACCCTGTATTTAGTTTTGAGCCACTTACCTGCAGTTTTGGTAAAATATGACTTTTATGTTTAAAATTAGCTGTGTGTAGCAAAAGCTGTAGACTTTGCCTCATAAAGAATGGCTTTTTCTTCATTTGTTTCTTCATTAAATATCAAGTGCTGAAGTAAATATACCACTTACTTCCTACACACTGGTGGAGTTCTGCTTGTATAAAGAACAAATTAGCTACTTAAAAAGAAGCTTGGCTTTCTGTAGGACAAGTGATGATCACTCAGTTGCCGGATGCTCGTAAGGAAGGGACTATATTTTTAAGATTAAAGTTACCAGACAGAAGAAGCCTTGATTCTGTCGGTCTGTGAATAAAGGTGGAAGCCAGTCAGCTCAGTGTGGTGGTGCCTTTAATTCTAGTGCTCAGCTAGCTAAATCGGGAGAATTAAGAGTTTGGGGTCGACCTGACTACATAGTGAAACAAACAGGACTGGAGAGGTGCACAGCTGATCAAGCGCCTGCTGTGCAGATGCGAGGTCCTGGGTTCGAGCTCCAGAACTCACACCACACCAGGTGGTGGCGCACACTTTTGATCCCAGCTCTCAAGAGGTCCAGCTAAGTATATCTCTATGAGTTTGAGGTCAGCCTGATCTACATAGAGAGCTCCAGACCAGTCTGGGCTACATAGAGAGATCTTGTCTCAAAAAATAAAATAAATAAAACGAAGAATATGACTGCGGAGAATTCTACCAAAACATGGCTTTATTGTTTGGGATTATTATCTGTAATGGGAATGTTTTATTTTTTAATATAATCCACTTTATAATCAGAAAACAATACAAAATGTCATCTGACTTAAGCAAACAGTCACCCTGTTGTGGAGTTACCTGTGAAAATGAAGACATCCAATCTTGTTAGTCTTTTTTTCTAATTCAGGAAGGCAGCTGAATCTGTGCATAGGAATTTTTCTGGCTCTTCTCACTTCAAGGTAATTTCCCCACTGGCTCAATGTCCTTGAACAATTTTAAAGCATGAATTCAGAAGTGCTTGCTTAGCAATCTATATTTTTCACTTTTTACAAAGAAACATGTATGTGAAAGTCCCCAAAGTAGGAACGAATAGCCAAAGGCAAGCACTTTATAAGCAGCTCTTTGTGGAAGTTATGGTGTTATCGACAGGATCCCAGTGCACAGGAGCTAAGACTGCCTGTGGTGTGTGGCTCTGGACACTGTATACAGAAACCATGGACCCGGGGTGTGACCTTGCTTCCTAGAGGACTGGCTGTTTGCTTCTGCAAATAGACCAGGCTAGAACCCAGGAAGCCAAAGTCTGGAACTGGTTTAGGCAGGTTAAGGCCAATCAAAGATATCTTTAATCTAACAGGTGCTTATTATGTTAGTCAGCCTCTGTCACTGTAAAAACCAAAACCCCAAAAAGGTCAAGGCAATCCTAAAGGAGGATTCGTGTTGGCTCACAGTTTCAGAGTTTCTGCTCAGGGTCATTTGGCACCACTGTGCTCAGGCTTGTGGAGAAGAAGGGAGTACACAGCCTAGCAAAACTGCTCATTCATTGGGGGGGGGGGAGGGATCCAGAGAGGGAGAGGGAGAAGGAGAGGGAGGGAGGGAGAGAAAGAGAGAGTTCTCAAATAAAATACAGCCTTATGGTGACCTCATATCTAAGCCCTCCCTCCTAAAGTTCCCAGCACACCCAGCAGTCCACTAAGCTCTAAGTTCATCTGTGGATTAATCCCTGGATAAGGTCAGAGCCGAAGGGCCAACCTCTCCACATTACTGTACTAAGCACCCTGCCTTCCACACAAGCCTCTCCAGGTGTCCCGCACTCAAGCCAGAGTACTTACTGAGAAGTTTAACAGCAGAGAACTGTGCTTCGGGCAGCCAGGAACAATAATCCCTTGTTGTGCCCAGCACATGAAGTTCTGATTCACGACTTGGTTGTCCAAGCCACCCTGTGAGCAGGTAGAGACACACACACACACACACGCACACACACACACACACACACACACACACACACACACACACACACCATGTTATAGTAGAGCTGAAGTTGTTTTCTCCGTGTTACACAGCTATTAGTTAGTTCCAAAGCCAGAACAGGATTCAGGTTCTCTGAACCCAGCCTCAGTGCATCGGCCATGAATTCCTCCCAGATAGTCACTACCACCTGCGCAAACAACAGGCGGCCATCAGGGCAGGGCTGTACTGACCCGGTGTTTATTGAGTGCAGAGCGCAGGAGAAACTAAGAGGAGAGTGATTAATTTCTTCCTAGCCACACCCTCATTTCTGCCATGTGGCTTTTGTGGGTGTTCACCTAAAGGGAACAATGGTTTACAAAAGGCCGTCACCCTCTTCCTCCTTGTGTGCCTCACTGCATCTTTCTTGGTGGCTCCAACCCTTTGCTCTTAATTGTTGTAATTATCTCTCTGTGTCTACTTGTCCTTGACTTGAAACAGACCTTGGTTTAGTCCCTAAAACTCTATTTTTGTCTCTCTAAAAATATATATATTTATTTTAATTGTGTGTGTGTGCATGTGTGTGCGCACGCACGCGTGCGTTTGCATGCATGTGATGCAGGTGCCCTCAGAGGCCAAAAGAGCTGCAACTGAAGGTACAGATGGCTATGAACTGCCCTGTGTAGGTTCTGGAAACTGACCTCATGTCTTCTGCAGGAGCAGTGTGTGCTCTTAACCACTGAGCCGTCTCTCCAGCCCAACTTGGTCTCTCTTGATCGTCTTCCTATACCTTTATCTCCTGGCCTCTTCCCATCAGTTCATCTTCTGGTCCTCCTTCCTACTCTTTCTCCGTTTCACCAGTCCCTAAGTAACAAAGAAATGTGGCCCCAAACAAAGTAACTGACTGCAAGATTCCATCTATAACTAACTGACTTCAAGATTCCATCTATAACTAACTGACTTAAGATTCCATCTATAACTGACTTCCATGTTCTCTATTAGGATTTTAAAGGGATAATATGAAGACAGGGGTGGCTCAGGCCTTTAATCCCAGCACTCGGGAGGCAGAGGGCAGGTAGATCTCTGGGAGTTCTAGGACATCCTGGTCTATAGAGTGAGTTCCAAGACAGCCAGGGCTACAAAACAAAACAACAACGAAAAGCATATGTATGGATGAGACCTCCAAGTTCTCATTCTGGAGTTCAAAGTAAAGGTGTTTGTGTGTGTATCTCAACTGTTTCCTTGTAGGAACATTTTCCTGGACAGGAAGCTGATCTCTTTGATGAAGGGGAGTAGCCCACACAGCACATATACTACGGTAGTCGCCTGGGAATTCACAAATATTTCACAATGAAGCAGATATTTTCAGTTTATATCTGGGAAGCAGTCATGGGGAGAGTGGGGAGAGTTTCTGTATCCTGTCTCCTAATGATGTCCGAGCAGCCTAAGGAAAGGGATAGAAAATCCAAAATGGAAGACAATATACTCCTCACACAGCCCTCCCAAACTAGATCTTTATGAATTTCCTGTTCAAAGAGGGAGACTGTGTGTGGCTCTGTCTGTCTGTCTGTCTGTCTGTCGAGGCCAGAAGACAACCTCGAATGTCATTCCTCCAGTGCCTTTCAGCTTGTGTTTTTAAGATAGATTTTTTTTCATTGGTCCAGGCCTCTCTGATTGCCCTGCCTCTCTAGAGCTGGGCTTCAAGTTCACCACCTGCCTAGTTGATGTTTGACCAGGGGCTCTGAGGATGGAATTCAGGTCCTTAGAATTATGCAACAGGTGCTTTACACTTTACCCAGCTGTCTCCCCAGCTGCCCTGAGACTCTGAATCTGGTACAGGAGTCTTTTTTTTTTTTTTTTTTTTTTTNTTTTTTGGTTTTTCGAGACAGGGTTTCTCTGTGGTTTTGGAGCCTGTCCTGGAATTAGCTCTTGTAGACCAGGCTGGTCTCGAACTCACAGAGATCCACCTGCCTCTGCCTCCCTGCTGGGATTAAAGGCGTGCGCCACCACCGCCCGGCTGGTACAGGAGTCTTAACCTAGCATCTAGCATCTGAGTTTCAGCCTTGCCTTTTTTTTTTTTTTTTTTTTTTTTGAAACAGTCTTGTTCCATGGCCCCAGTTCACCTGGAACTTGCTATGTATTTCAGGCTTCTCAGACTTACTGCAATCCTTCTGCCTCAGCCTCCCAAGTGCTAGGATTACAAGTGTGTACCATCACATCTGGCCCACATTTCACTCTGGAAACCCATATAAGCAGCAAATTGTAAACTTCAGAAACCCTACCACTGTGGCATGAAGCTGTTGAAATAACTCTGGAACTCAGGTCAGGAGGTCCAGGTTTTAAGTGGAGTCCTTTCATTTCACAGGGTGGCAAGTCAGCTTCCCATCCACACTGAGGTTTCTTAGGGTAGGAAAAGTAATTAATCATATGCTTACCTTTGCTGTTAATAGTAATATGCGGGCTGGGGGAAAAGCACAGGGGCTGAGAGTGCTTGCTGTGCAAGCATGATGACCTGAGTTCGAATCCCCAGCGCCCACAGAGCAAGCCAGGAGGATTACAGGACTTGCTGGCAGCCAGCCTCACTCCAGGTTCTGTCTCAAAGGAAAATGACAGACAGTGACTTTGTATTTCCTCTGGCGGTGCCGATGTGTGATGTGTGTGCACGTGCGAGCAAATACACTACACATGTGCACATTTTTAAAAAGTAGCATTTGAGCCCATAAACTCCGTATCCCACGCTTAAACTTGTGAGTAAACAATGAGGAACAGTAGTTAGATAGCTTTTACTCTGAAAGCATATTGAGAAAGGCTATTACTCTTCATTATCAAGTTTGAAAGCAAATAGTCATTAAGCACGTTGACCTTGAAGGTAGAAAGTACTAAACTCAATCCCAATTCTGCTGCCAGCAATGTGACCACAAGTAATTTTTAAATTGCTCCGGCCTGACTCTCCCTTCCCCTCCGCTCTCTCACACAGCAACAGGTTTGAGGATTTAGTTAACACAATCAAAGTGTTTGATGTGGTACCTGGCATACAGTATAGTTCTCAACATACAGTTTAAAATTTCATTCGTGCAACCCTTGAAAGGTGCCCAGCTTAATTGGACAATAAAATACAAAGACAGCTCTGGGGAGGCAGAGGCAGGTAGATCTCTTGAGTGTGAGTCCAGCCTGGTCTACATAGAGAGTGCCAGGTTAGCCAGGGCTACATTTTAGAGAGACCTTGTCTAAGGGGAAAGACAAGCCCATTAGAAAATGAATTTATAATCTGCCTGGAAGGAAACAGAAACCTTTGCAGAGATGATGTCTGGCAAGGCTTGAAGTGGGCTGGGAGTGTAGCTTGGTGGTGGAACATACGCCCACCCGATGAGCGCAAGACTCTGGGTTAGATACACAACATGGGAAGCATCCTTTGAGGGATGAACAGCATTTTAGATCTATTTGTTTGTTTGCTTGTTTATACTTTGGTACCCCCTCCTCCCATTCCCTTAGGGCTTGGTGCTTTTGGTTAAGCTTTATCATTTCTCACAGAAGTTTGATTACTGGAAAGTCAAGTTCAAATCAATGCTTGTTCGCTCTATACCAAATCAATCTAAACATTGTGGTGGCTTCTGTGGGCACAATGTTGGAAAGTTATTTTTCTCCTATTTCTACATATGATACACCTGTTGTTCTGTATTCATTTCATGAAGGCATGCTAAGGGTTTAGTGGCCAGCCTCCTGTGTGGTGCACTGTCCTGACCACTGGACATTGCTAGCATACTTGTTACTTGTGCTCACCTCTCCTAGCCAAGGTATGGAGGACTTAGAACCACTTGTCACCGGGCGAGCGGAGGTGACCAGGATCATGGATAGGGTATAGAAAGTGGGATGCAGAAAGATGTTTTCCGGAGAGAACGGAAAGCTCACAGGTGCATGTTCTTTGTTCATGTGAGAGTCTTATTTGTGAGACACCCTGGTACCAAACTGGAGTCCTTTTTATTTACCACTTATGTCAGCTGTACACTGAGGAAGCAGAGATGCAGCCTGCCCTAAGTGGACAAAACTCCCCATTCCCTTTGAGCTTTGTTACTTTAATGTTAACTAAATTCGCATTAGCAACATGTAGAGAAATATGAAGAGTTGTCTTCTCCCGGATGATCACAGCCTAGCAATAGTTAAAAAATAGTAAAAATAAAAGTTTTTTTTATTTTTTACCTTTTTTGGGGGACAGGGAGCTCAATACATAGCTTTTGGAGCCTGTCCTGGAAACTAGCTCTTGTAGACCAGGCTGGTTTTGAACTCACAGAGATTCGCCTGCCTCCAGACTCCCGAGTGCGCCACCACTGCCCGGCTTGGGAAATTACCTTTAAAGTTAAGAAAATCTCAGACTCAGTAATCAATTATATACAAATTGAAACAAGCAAAAGCTATGTTCGCTGTATCTCTACACCATTAACTGAATGCTAATTTATTGGCATCTAGCAGAAATCATCTGCTATTTATTTTATAGAGATCCCGGTATCAAAAGAGTTGGAAAAGCTTTGAAGGGTTTGTATCCAGCTTCCTCCTCATTCCACAATTGAGGAAATCGTGGCTCAGCTGAGAGAGGGCCGAGCTAAGCTGTTCCTGCCAAATCTCTCTAACGAGACTTTGGAGAGACTTTGGTGACTTGAAGAGACCTGTAGTGCCTTCCAATTGTCCTGGGCATTAATGAATCATAACACCCACCTTCTCAACCCCCCCCCCCCTTCCCACATATTCCCGCATTTAAGTTAGAAGCTACAAACCAAAGCAGTCTCTCCTAAGAGAGAGTCATTTCGGCGATACTGAAACGACTGGACTGTCCAGAGAGTTTCAAGATGCTAAGCGAAAGTAGAATCATCTGGCCCAAGAACTGTTAAATAAAGGGCACAGCTGTCATCCTCAGCACAGTTGCCGAGATTCGCGTAGTACCTGGACCCAAAGCCAAGAGGTCTACTAGTACCACAACAAGGAGGGAGGGAACGCAGGCTTTCAAGCCTTCTTGGCGATTCCTGAGAAGCCACTCCCTGATGGGCAGGAAGGCCATTTAGGACTCCCTTAGGAAGCGACGATGCTCGGTGGATGAGGGCAGACGGCCACAACCCGCCCGATCCTTCGGCCAGAGACGTGGGCGCCTTGGCGCGCATTGCGCCCGGGTGCACGTCCTGCAGGGAGGCCCCTGCACGCGCCCGCGGTGACAGAGAGGGGATCGGGCAGCCTCGCGGCGAGACCCCGCCCCAGCTCCTGCCCGCGCCTATCGCGGCCGGCGCGTTGGTCACGCGGGGGAGCGCCGCGGGCTGGCGGCCAGGGCTGGCGGGGCCCGGGTGGCGGCGGCCGGGCGGGGCCGGCGGAGGTTAGAAATAGGGAGAGCGGGCCGAGCCGCCAGCCCCGAGCACGCTGCGCAGCGAGCCGCCGCACCCGCACCCGCATCCATGCTGCTGACGCTGGCCAGCGGCGCCCTCTTCTTCCCGGGGCTCTTCGCGCTCAGCACCTGGGCGCTGCGCCGCTCGCGGCCGGGATGGACGGACGACGACTGCCTGACGGTCGGCACCAGGTACCGCGGGCCGGGCTACCCGCTCTGGCGGGGCGCTGTCCTCCGCTCCGGGCCTGCGTAGGGCGGAAAGGGGGCGACGGGAAGCGCCCCTCGGTGCGGGGCAGGCCTGGTCGGGAAGGGCGTGTGCTTCTCCCCGCCTGCTGCTCCTACTTGGGGCATCGCGACGCCATGGCTGCCCGGGAGAGGCAAGTTGGAGAGTGGGGCTTTGTGCTGTCCGCAGTCCTGGAGTAAGAACGCTTTCTTTGCTTTCTCTTCTCTGCCCCGCCTCAGGCTGGTGTCCTCCGTGCAGGCAGTGCTGGCTACCGGGGCGGGGCTCATCATCATCTGCTCCTGCAGCAACGTGGTCTCAGACAGGTAAAGTCTCATCCCAGGTGGAAGTATAAATACCCGGGCTGAGGACCCCCTCCCCGGCATTTTCACATTTTAGTGGCTCACAGGCACTGCCTGTGACTTCCTGGTGGAAAACCTGTGCGCCCTAATTAGTGCCCTCCTCGCACTGCTTCCATCATTCCAGCTTAGGGGAAGCGAGGGGAGTGTGGAAAAATGCTGGAGCGAGAGACTGGGCCTGACGGAAGACTGCCGCGTTAGAGGACAGTGTGGTCCAATGGTCCCTCTTCATAAGGAGGAGTATGGTTTTTGGTTCGTTTAAATGCTTTCACTGAGTTCTCTCTCCTGAACATTCTCAGCAGAGAGGGTAGCAGTGACTGTAGCCAACCCCTTCTATTGGCAGCCTAAGTCCACCCTCGCATTCCCTGCAGATGCTGCTCTTGCTTTTCCTTTGCTCAAGATAATGAAGCGGTTTCTGGTGCTTTCAGAAAACTGACACATTTGTGCCCAAAGTCAGGACAGACAAATGGGCTTCTATGGCGCTTCAGTGTGACAAATTCAGACCAGAGTGGGCCATCCTGTTTAAGCATGAGTAGTGGCAGTGCTTTTGCTTTATCTGTAGACCCGACTAGCTTGGAACATGTGGCAATCCTCCTTCATCTGTCTCTCAAGGGCAGAATAACAGATATGTGCCACCACACCACGATGTATGTATGTATGTATTTATTTATCTTCCCACTTGGCTCTTTGAACCACTCTTTCTTCCAGAGAAGTTTAAAGGACAGGCAGGCGTCCAGAGAAAGTTGGGTAGCTTTTCCTGATTTTCCGCCGTGCAGTGTCCTGTAGAGAACAAAACTGCCTCACGCTGGCCTGGGGTCTTCCTTGGGATTGGCCGTGCTGCCACCATTCCCGTTTGTCCTCTCGATGTCTCTCTTTCCTTTTGAGACACAGTCTCATTCTGTAGTTTGGACTGGCCTCAAACTCACCGAGATCCGCCTGCCTCTGCCTCCTCAGTGCTGGGATTAAAGGCGTGCGCCACTATGCCTGCTCTTGGTAGTTATTTTACTTGAAATGACTCTAACAAGCAATGAGTCCATGGATGGGCATTAGAATAGGTCTTGGATATTTGGGCCCAGATAGACGCTGGCTAATCAGTTTGCCTACAAGTGTAGTATATGTGTCATTACTCTTTACTTGCCTTTATTCCATTCTTTTTTAGATGAGCCATGTTGTGTTAAGTGTGGAGCTAGTTCAGAATAGACTCTCACATGGCGCCCTCCCTAGATTCCCGGTTCTGCTTTTCAGTGGACTGGCTCCTTGGGAGATCACCCAAGACAAAGTGAAAAGTACAAACTAGATCCTAGACATGGATTTAGAATCTCTGGGGAACAGAGTGCTTCCCAAGTACTGCAGGCGACCTGATGGTTAGGTAGTCTGAGAACTGTACAGCGTGTTTCCTCTTCTAATACTATTGCTCAAAAATGTACTATGTGAATCTAATCCTCTCTAGCATAGGACAGATTCTAATTTAAATGTTTCTTTAAATTAAGTTTCTGTATGATGCTGGAAAGTACAGGCATGTATGCTAGAACAGTAACAGACCATCATTTTGGCTCACACTGGGCAAATTAATAGGAACACACATGCCCCAAATCAGTTGAGGAAATGAACATCTTTTGGCCCAGCCTCTCTTGGAATTTAGTTGCTATAATGTGGTCCTTGAAGTCCAAGCCCATTTTTAGACACACATTTAAAAAGAATTTAAGTAAATTTATTCATTTAGTGTGTGTGTGTGCGAACCATGTTGTACTTGTGGAGGTCAGACAACTTGCAGGAATTGATTCTCTCCTTCCACCATGTCCATTCAGGGGTCATTAGGCATATTAACCCACTAGGCCATCTAGCTGGTCCCAGGCATCCTTTTATGAATGAATGAAACTCAGGGTTAACCATAGGTAAGGAAATAACATGGCCGGGTGCTTCCTACGAACTCTACAGTGGGGCATGGAGAAGCAAGAGAAAATGTGTAGATCGGGAACTCTGAAACTCCAGCTGTTGAGCAACTGAGGAGTTAAACTGGAAAGGTTGGACTTGTGATTTAAAACGCCTTCCAAACCAGTTCCTTGGTGGAGCTGCTGAATCATTTGGAAGTTTATCTCCATCAAAGTCAGTTTCTATCAAAATGCTTGAAGTCTACTGTAGATAAGGAGCTGAGCCAGGCAACTGGTTACGATAAACTACATGTGTATATATAGGTAGAATGGATTCCTGCTTCTACTCTCGACCCTCCTAAATTTGCTTTGTAATTTAGAGACCCCCCTCCTTAACTGTCGCACCCTCTTCACTGTGAACTGTCCAAAGTAATGGCTGATGAGAAGAGAAGAGCGCCAGAGAGGAGACACTTTGTGCTGCATCGATATTCGTGGCTATTCTCTCTCCCTGTGCTTTCTTTTAGGCACTGGCTTGCCCGAGAGTATGTCTGGTTTCTGATCCCATACATGATCTATGACTGCTATGCCATGTACCTCTGCGAATGGTGCCGAACCAGAGACCAGAAACTCAGACGTGCCACCATTTTCCGCAACTTCCTGATTGAAAACCGCCTAATGGTCACACATCATGCGGTCATCCTGTTTGTCCTTGTACCTGTTTCACAGGTATGGCCTCTCAGGGCCGCAGCCTCAGTCACTGAGCCGGGTGCCTTGGTCATTCCTTAGGAGTTGGGGAGCCCTTTCTTCCCTTTTGTACTATGCTGGCCCTCCTGCTAATTACTTCGTTGGGTTCAGTCTTCCATGCAAGCAGTGGAGGAAAACCATACCACCTGAAATGTTTGTGACTCCTGGCCGTCACTGTTAGTTTGTAAAAGATTTGTTTCTTTTGTATATGTATGGGTGTTTTGCCTGCATGTATGTCTGTGTACCTCTTGCTGGACTGGAGGCTGCAGGGGCCAGAACTGTTGATTCCCTGGAACTGGAGTTATTGATGGTTTGAGCCACCATATAGGTGATGGGAATTAAACCTGGGTCCTCTTGAAGAGCAGCCCATGCTCTTAACCCCTGAGCTGTTTTCGGGCTTGTTTTTTATTATTTGTTTTTAGTACAAGTAATTAATCTAGCGCCTCACTCATGCAGGGAAAGCATTCTACCCCTCACTCTACCCCCAGCTCTCTTGACTGTTTTGAGACAGTCTTAAGTTGCTCAGCTCGGCCTTGCACTTGTAGTCTTCCCACTCCAGTTCCCCATGGAGCTGGAATCATGGGCCTGCACTACCAATAGGCTTCAGCATTATTTCTTTTAGAGATTATTTGCTTTATCTAAGTGAATGTACAAGTACCTGTGGAGGTCAGAAGTGGCTAGAAACCTGCTTAGTTCTGATTGCCTGACATGGGTGCTGGTAACCAAACTTGTCCCCTGTAAGAGTAGCAAGTGCTCTTAACCATGAGCCATCTGTCCAGCCCTATCTGTTTAATTTTGAGACAGGGTCTCACTATGCAAACCAGGTTGTTCTCAGATGTGTAGCAGTCTTCCTGTCTCTTGAGTGCTGAGGTTAAAAGCGTGCACTACCACATCCAGCATTGTATTTTCTTATTTATTTTGTATGTCTGTGTTTTGGCACAAGGGTGGAGGTCAAGGGACAACTTGGAAGAGCCAGTTCTCTCCTTGTACCATATGGGTCCTATAGGTGGTATGGGGGTCAGACTTAAGTCGTGAGGCTTATAGGCCATTGCCTTTACCAGCTGAGCCAGCTCTTTTGCTCCAAGTCTTCTTATCCCAGCGCTATTGAGCAGGTTGTTCCATCAGGTAGGCTGCTACTGTAGGAAGAAAAAAAGGTACTCCATTTTGTAAGGGCTTTGCCTTCCAGCACATACTTTGTTGTGCTGAATAAGCCCGGTGCCTTTGACACACAGAAGCAGGCTACTGAGTTCCTCCCTGTTATCGCTAAAATCAGATGATGCCTGCTGCTGTAGGACTCAGTGAGCCTGCCCGCCTTTGTCTCTGGATCCTCTCCAGGTGATTGCCAGGGAAGCAGCAGGATACTTAACTGGATGGCCACTTGCCTATTAACAACTTTCTCCCTTCAGGGTCTCATGGTTCTCTTTTCCCTAGAGCCTTAGTTAGGATTTTCCTTCCGGTGCTTTCTTAACCTCCCTTTTCTTCTCTCTGCAGAAGCTCAGGGGAGAACTTGGAGACTTCTTTGTCGGCTGCATCTTCACAGCAGAACTGAGCACTCCATTTGTGTCGCTGGGCAGAGTTCTGATTCAGGTGCGTATGAGTGAAGCAGCAGATGTGGGGGGGGGGGGGAAGAGACCTGCACTGCCTTGGAGAGATCTCAGTGCTAGGAGAGGAGACCCTTTGATGTGGGTCCAAACCAGGCGCATGAGACTTGATCTGACCCGAGTTACACAGACACCTGGCTACAATTTAATCACTTGTTTTTATACACCTATAAGGGTATATAAGCTTAGGTCAAATCCAGCATCACTTTTGGTAAAATGACGAAGCTGTAGATGGTGACTGACAGCTCGGTGGGCAAGACAGCTTGCTGCACCGAAGCAGTGTTATCCCCTCCACCCACACAGGGCAACATCCAAATACCAAGCCAGAAGCAAGTGACAGCTTGGTTCTTGTAAAAGCCGGGCATGGCTGTGTGCGCAGCCTGGCTGAAAGGGTGAGCTCTGGATTCAGTAAGAGACCCTGTCTCGAGAGAGTGAGGGGACGGCACCCAACGTCTGGCCTCCACAAGTACATGCATGGGCCTGTATAACTGCTTTTGTGTGTCCGAGTGCCTAGCAACTTAGCACCATGGGCCTTGACTAGCGCAAGAACCTGCTTCACTGTGGTGAGGCTGGGTTCCATGCCTGATGACCCATACTCCTGGTGACCTTGCGTTCTTTGTTTTTCTCTCGCAGCTAAAGCAGCAGCATACCCTCCTTTACAAGGTCAACGGAATCCTCACGCTGACCACCTTTCTGTTCTGCCGGATCCTTCTTTTCCCCTTCATGTACTGGTCCTATGCCCAACACAAAGGAATGAGCCTGCTCCGAGTACCATTTAATATCCCTTTACACTGCAACGTGGCCAATGCCGTCCTCATCTCTCCCCAGCTCTACTGGTTCTCACTGCTGTGCAGGAAGGCAGCCCGGCTCTTTGACACTGCCAAAGCCAAAAAGGATGGTTAACTACTCTCAGGAGTCAGGCTCTCACACTAGCTGCTGCCTCTACTCAGTATTCCAAGGACCAAATTGTGCCTGGGGGAGCTTCTGCCTTCTGGATATTGATGAGCCTCTGGATTTGAGGTTTTCTAAGAATCCCCAGTACCTTCCCCTTCTAACCTGCTCCTTTTGCAAAAGCACCCCCCTTCCCCCAGTGGTAACTTGGATCCTGTCAAACCTCCACTGCAGCAAAGTAGTCTTAATGCAAGCCTGAGGAGCCTTCCTTGGGCCTATGGTAAGAGCTCTGGGAGGTGAAGCACTGCTATCCTCACTCAGGGCAACATCCATAATACTGGGCCAAAAGCAGGTGACAGCTTGGTTCTTAAAATAGTGTCATTTTTTCCAACACTAGGAAAACCATTGTGGGTGTGTAGTCTTTTACTGTTTACTAGACAGCCCTGGTCCTCTCATTGGTATATCAACAATGAATTCTCATCCTACTGACTTCCAGTCAGAAGGGCTCGCTGACAATGGGCAAGAGGCAGGGCTGAGAACCTGAAGCACTTGAGTAGGTCAGGAGGCCAGCAGAGGCCCGCAGCTCCGCTGGCTGACTTGGTATAAAGACCAGTAGCACAAACTTGGGAGCTTGTTGCAAGCACTCACCAACACCATTCCCTTTTTCGCACAACCTCTCATACCCAGTTTTCTGTGCCCACATAGAAAGCTGGCCTAAAACTCCAGGGACAAAGTAAAGTGATGGCTTCTTTAGTGGATTACCGGGTCATCCCACTCTGACACTGCCTTTTTAATTCAAGGCTGATACAGATGTCCACTCTAACCCTTGAGCTCTTGGCCAGGCCAGTGTTCTAGCGCTTCCTGAAGAGACCCATTTATGCTCAATGTGCAGCCATTCAGCCACAGAAGACTAGAGAACACGGGGGCAGCCAAGCTGGCCAGAACATGTCCTGTGGACCAATGTGGTAGCTGTGTACAGCAGGATCATTCCTCGCCACAGGCTGGGTATGAGAGGACCTGCTGCCACTTCCAAGTGGCAGCAAAAACACTACAAGTGCCTTATAATTCACTGTCCATGGACTTGTAAAGGACTGGATGATCATGTCTCAAATTTTGAGTTTCAGTTTTTAATAGGTGCCACTTAAAAAACCATAAAAATGCTGTTTTGTGTTTTGTTTACTGTCATTGTATCCATAAGTCATCCATGTGGTGATTAAATTGCACTAAATTCTGTTTATTGTTAAGTGTATTGGCACTGGCTTCCTCAAACATCCTGAGATCCAGCCAGACTGACTGCTGTGTGGGGTACTTCCTAGTCTAATCATGGAATGTGACTGACTTCCAGGCAGGCCTTACTCATACCTTAGTCCAACATGTTGGTTCAAGGTACCAAAGGATTCACAGAGCGTGCCCAGAGTTCAAGCTCAGTGTTCACTTGTAACTTCTTCCCCTGGTGAATTCCAATTAGGAGTTGGGAGGGCGGAAGCCTGCCTGTTGACCACAGAACAGTTTACTTTAGGTGGGAGAAAAGTAATAAGCCATTTAAAATGAGGGTGTGGCTATGCAGGACGTGATGGGACCTCTTCTCTCATCCCCCTAAATGATACCTCCCTAACCAGTTCTTAAGAGTTGTGTAATACCACCCTGGAAACTCTTTTTTTTATGCTTCTGCATGCATTGTTACCTCTGCCATTCATTCATCAAAACCAAGGCCCTCTCCAGGCAGAAGGTAATCACACCCCACCTCCAGGGTATCAGCTGTTCACCTGGTGTGCTGAATGGATGGCTAACCCTTAACAGTGTTCTTGGTTAGATCCTCTCACAAAGGTACAGGCCTCTCTGGCGCATAAGTTAGAACCAGTGCCAAATGAGCCCCTTTCCACATGGGCCTTTTTTTTTTTTTTTTTTTTTTTGAGAAAACCTTGGGGAAAAAAAGATGAAATACTAAATGCTTACTAGCATCCCAGGCTGGCCTTGAACTTAAGATCCCTCTACTTCAGCCACCCAAATGCTGGGATTCTAGGAGTGTACTGTTACCAAGACTAGCTGAAAAGAACATAGAACCTTGTATTTTTTTTTTTTTTCTAGTAGGTAGCTCCACCTTTGGGCTTACTGCCAAATCTAGGTGGAGAATTTCAGTTACAAACATGTTCCTCCCCAGCTGGACTTTTTTAAACTTTCAGATCTTACTACGCCGTCCAGGCTGCCACCCTCAGCCTCCCAAAGGCTGACGTTTCAGGTGTGCACTCCCACACCTGCTCCACTGGCTTTACTTGATCTTAAAGATTACCTCAGCCTAACTTTGGAGCATATTTAAGCCCAAACTTCTGAGAAAGGCTCAAGACAAGATGAAACCCAAAAGAGTTTTATTGTAGTATGTGGCAAGTCCCTAAGAAACTACTTTTTTCACAGTGCTCTCTGTTCCTTTCATGGTGTGCACATTCTCACTAACCGTCACCATGTTGGAGGTATAGCATCTGTTCTGCCCTCCACAGGTCAGAAGTTGTTGATCTTCTGTAGCAGGGTTTGGCGCCGCTCCTCGGGGCTAATGTTCTTCGCTATAGACTTTAGGAAGCGCTGCTCATCGACCTTCTGGAGCAAGAAGCTGACAGAAGGGTTGGTCTTGCTTAGGGTTTCATAGCAGGTAAGGATTTCCAAAGCCAGCACGTACAGGGGCTCACAGACCTCCTGGGGGAGCATGGCCATGATATGCAGAACATGACAGAACATTTGGGTATACACAAACAGGGTTTCCTGAGTCAGGTCCCCCTTTTGTCCTTGGCCCTCCAACTGCATCAGCCTGATTGCATCCAGGATACCGGTCAGACTGCTACAGAGGAGTCTGACCACATGGCTCCAACCGTCCATAGGAAGCCAGTTACAACAGCTCTGGCTGCAGAGAAACTGGAACACTCTCAAGGAGAGAACAGAGAGTTGAAGCTCTTGGGCAAAGGGCCTCAGGTTGAGCAGGGGAACAAACTGAATATACTCCAGGCTATAAGGGACATGAAGGAGCTGTTTCTCCAACAGCTTCCTTGTCAGCTGCTGAAGGTACTGCCATTCCTGGGGACTACACCAAGGCATGACTTGTACCAGGGCCACCAGAAAGCCCTTGCTAAATAATCTGACCTCCTCGGGATTGCACACATCCACCACTAAGAGGGAGAGCATCTCTTCAGAGACACTGCTGGAGATGGAGCAGCACTCCATCCAGGCGAGAAGCCCTGTGCCAGGCCCATACCCTTCATGGGCCTGAGAGGTCCACTGGGCCTCAGAGAGCTTACAGATCTCAAAAAGGGTTGCCGGCACCTCACACTTGAAGTGTCCTTCAAAGAAGTTCTTCAGTCTCAGGCCCACAGTCCAGTCTAGCTGGTCTAACTTGCGGTGGAGCCAGGACAGGGACTTGGCCCAGGTGTCTGGGGAGAAGGTCTCTGCATTGGCCAGCACGATCTCACAGAGGAGCTTTAGGATGTAGATCACAAGATCCTTGCTGTCCAGAGTGAGGCAGCGCTTCTCCCGGGGGAGCTGCCAGAACTTGCTAAAGCTATCCAGGAGTTGGCACAAGCTGAAGAGCAGCGGGAATGGGGAGCAGGTTTGCAGCCAATACTCCTCCAAGCCTGCATTGGCTTCAAGGGTCTGGATGAAGAGCTTCAGACTCAGGCCTACCTCCTCCATGTCCAGCATCAAGAAGGGCAGGACAAACTCCTTCAGCACCTCATCAGGCTCCAGAAGAGCAGCAACTGGGATTCCCTGAGGTTTCACTGGGTTCATCAGGCAGCTCACCAGCTCCAGAAATTGCTTCTCTTCTTTGGGTGTAGAGAACTTTGTCCAGACAGTTTCTTTGAGGCAGGACACCATGAAACTGGTATGTGGCTTTGGCCCTTGCGTTTCTGTGAACTTCAGCGCAGGGAAGGCAGTGAGAATCTGAGCCAGGAACCTGTGAGCGCCAAGATTGGTCACAGCTGTGCTGCACATCTTCTTTACCACTACTTCTGGGTAGAAGATCACCAGGCGGGCCATGGAGGCCACTGCTTTGGCCAGGCCCTGTTCAGAGCTGCTCTGTGCAAGCTGGTTAAACGTTGTGTTGAGGTCTTCTTGAAAACCCTCCACGTAAACAGACAACCTGTCTGAGAGGCCCTTTGGCCCCCAACAATGCAGGACGCCAGAAAGGACTTTATTTTTGTCTGGTAGGGAGAGTTCTGCATAACACTCCAAGGTCAAGCAGATCACCTGCTTGATCTGAGACTGGGGGATAACCCTGTTAGAGTTGATGACTTCCATCACTGTTTCCAGCAGACTCAAGACCAAGTCTGGTTCCCTGAAGAGAGATCTGTTGTTAACCAGGCAGGCAACCCACTCATCTGAAAAGGCCCACTTCTTCTCAGAAGCAAAAATGTAGCACATTTCCATGTGCCGGTCCATCTTCTGCTCAATGATGGCCATGGCAATGGAGGCAGTGATGTCCTCGAGGCCCTTGTCATTCAGGACTTTGCTGGTTTTTCTCAGGAAGTCCTTGACACACTCAGCCAGTTCACAGACCATCTGCCTCTCCTCCTTGGACATGCTGGCAGTATCCAGGTAGTGCTTCAAGTTCTGGCTGAAGGAAGTCAGACTGTCACACAGCCGGTAGGTGTCATAGTTTGTCCCCTGACTGCTGTTGAGCATGTCTTGCAGTTCTGTACCCCACTCCTGCAGCAAGTTGTGCATGAGCTCAAACCCCATGAAAACAGTCTCACTGGGGAGTTTGGCCAGCGAGGTGAGGCTCACGTCCCGCTCTGCCTCCTTTACCTTGTCGGCCAGGGCCTGTTGATGGTATGGGTTCTGTGTGTCCGAATTCCATACAGAGATCACTGTGGCTAGTTTGTCTAGGTACATGGTGGCAGATACCTCCTGGGGGTCATCCTCCATCAATGCAAACACATTCAGCATGTCAGCCAAGTTAGCTAGTGCACAAGACTTCATGCCAAGGCACAGAATTCTATTTTGGATTTGTTTCAGCCCATTGAGCAGCATGGCTAACAGGGGCATAGTGGGACCTATGTCTGGGTCAGACTTAAACCTCTTTGGAGGATGGGAAAACTCATCAGAAGACGGCAAGTATTTATGGGCCATCGTCCTGAACTGGGAAAGCAAGGGGTCCTGCTGGTCACCCTTGTGCTTCATCATTTCCCACCAGACATCCAGGAAGAAGGCGACATCCTTGGAAGAAGTATCAATAGCCATGTGTTCCAGAAAGTTCTGTAGTTCTGAGCGGCAGATGGTGGTAGGCAGGGACATTAGGAGCTGAATGAAGAGTCCAGAAGCTTCCAGAGACTTAAGTAGCTCAAAAAGGACTGTGTGGTTGATGGTAGGAATCATGTTGCCCACGGAGAAGAACACATCTTCCTGCCACCGAGTGTCAGTGTCAGAAGGACTGACGGGGGAAGGCTGAAGAACCTTTGCCCAGATGATGATCAGGGCTTTCTTCTTCCAGGCAAATGACTGGGAATGTGCTGTGGCTGAGGAGATCTCCTTCAAGGCCTCCACAATGGGCTGCCCTACATGTTCCCAGTCAGACTTTGTCAGCTGTACCAGGTCTTTGGGGTGGAACAGCTGCTCGGCCATCAAGAAGCCCCCATGCAGAATAGTCATTTCCTCACAAATATTCACAGGTCCTGCACAGAGAAGCCAAGAGCTAATGAAGTTTTCAGAAGTTTAGCAGAAGCTAAGAGAAACAGCCAGTGGTTGTCTATCATTATCAAGGTTAAGGACGACCTTGACTTCAATGGGAAAGGAAGAAGTGGTTAGTAAGAGCTTCCAACGGGGGCTGGAGAGATGGCTCGGAGGTTAAGAGCATTGCCTGCTCTTCCAAAGGTCCTGAGTTCAATTCCCAGCAACCACATGGTGGCTCACAACCATCTGTAATGGGTCTGGTGCCCTCTTCTGGCCTGCAGGCATACACACAAACAGAGTATTGTATACATAATAAATATAAAAAAAAAAAAAAAAAAAAAAAAAAAAAAAAAAAAAAAAAAAAAAGAGCTCCCAAAGGGCTGGAGTCATAAGAACTTGACTGAGGAAAAAAACCCGGTTTCCAAGATCTCTAGCCTGAAAATTAGAAGGACAATCGTACCACTAAAAACAGGCAGAGAGAACTGGGCAGTGGTGGCGCACGCCTTTAATCCCAGTACTCAGGAGGCAGTGGCAGGCGAATCTCTAAGTTCGAGGCCGAGGCCATCCTGGTCTACAAGAGCTAGTTCCAGGACAGGCTCCAAAGCTACAGAGAAACCCTGTCTCAAAAAACAAAAAAAACAAAACAACAAAAACAAATAAATTAAAAATACCCCCCCCCCAAATAAAAAATTAAAAGCAGGCAGAGAGGGATTCAGAACAGGCTTCTAAATGTCTTTTTAAGTATTTTAGTTATCTGAATTCTCTGGAGCTAGAGTTACAGATAATTGAGAGCCACCTGCTACAGGTGCTGGGAACTAAACTCCAAATCCTTTATAAGACCCTTATGTGTTCTTAACCACTGAGCTCTCTCCAGCCCCCAGGACAGATTTAAAGGAGAGAAAGGTTCAGTTCTGGTTACTTGGAGTCTGGCAGAACATGTAGTGATGTCCTTCAGCAATGGAGCGAGTTGAGGAGAAAAGGCCTGATGTGAGTATGGGCAGTGCCAACACAGACAAGTTGATGGAAACCAAGGAAGTGACTAAGGTCCCTCAGCAAAGTGACGAGGAAAGTCGAACTGCTGAGGTGACAGTGCCACCAAGTATGCATTAGAAGACTTGACAAAGGGCAGTGACATGACTCAGTGCACCAAGCCTGATGACCTGAGTTTGATCCCTAAGCCTAATTCAGCAAGAGAGAACCAACTCCTAGAAGCTGTCTTCTGACCTCCACTGATGGTACCCACAAATACACACACAGAATGCAATAAATACAAAACAAAACCTGAGCTCTGTTGGATGTGATGACAGACGGAAGGTCCAACACTGAACGATGAGCAGTCTTTTGGGGGGTTTTACTATTTTATTTTACTTTTTCTGTTTGAGACAGGGTCTCACTATGAACTTACTGGCTTTGAACTCAAGAGATCTGCCTACCTCTACTTCCTATGCACTGGGATTAAAGGCATATGCCATCACACCCAGTCGAGCCTTTGTTTTTGAGCCCAGAGCCTTACATATATACTAGGCAAGCTCTACCACTGAGCTGTTTCCCCTGCTCTGCCTTCCTTTTTTCTAAGTAGACTCCTGCTAATGGGTTTCACCATTCTGGATCTTACAGGGAAAAGGTTCACCCAGTGGTTTCTTCCAGACAAAAAGGACAAGCTACCGAAGGTTCTGGCTCTATAGCAGGAACCAGGAAAGTGGTCATTCATTCACTGAGCTAAGAACGGATACATTTAAAGGAAGGCAATATCGGAGTTTAATCAGTGGATTTAAATTCAAGCTCAGTCATTCAAAAACGTGACTTTACACATTACCGAGTCTGTCTGCATATGTGAGACTACAATCTTCATGGTATAACCATGAAAATCACATGACACACCACATACACTAATCACACTTTTGGAAATAATTTGGAACTGTTACCTTCTGGAAACATCTTTCAGGGATGGGAGAATGGAAGGGTTATAAAAGAAATCTCAACAATAATCAGACTACCAAGAGCCGGATTTAAAGGCACAATTGTTGGTAGGGCCAGACTCCTCACTCTTTTGTCTCCACCAGTGCAGAAACAAAAGGGCACAGGTCTTTATCAAAGTGTGTAATTTGGCCTAGAAACTACAGCAAGAGTGTAACAATTAACAGGTCATGGTCATTGCTCCTGATAACCCCCACCCATTCCCAGGGCTCAGAGGTGCCCAACCCTTCCCTCAGTCCCTCATGCTCCCAGGAACATCTCTCCCCCATTCTCGTTAGCCAGGGGGTCAACATCAAAAACACCGACTCCAATGGCTAGTTGTGGTGGCCCCTGCTTCTAATCCCAGCTCTAGGAAGGCAGATTTCTGTGAGGTTAGCCAAGGTACATTGTGACCCTGTCTCAAACCTTCCCTACCCTGGGGGTGGGGGAGAGATACTGACTCCAGGCAACTAACAAATCTCTTGGCCACTAACCATTTACACACACACACACACACACACACACACACACACACACACACACGAAAAAAAAAAAGTCAAGGATCAGCCTGCCTGTTAACCCAGGCCTGAAGGCAGGGCACCTTGGCTTCCACAGTAGCAGTCAGGCTCCGAGCTAGGTTGCTGTGGCAGGGTTCTTTCTGGTTCAGGTTGTTCTGCCTTCCCCCAACACCATTCCCTTATGATTGTAAATTCAATTTTATTGTATTTATCAGCTTAGCTGAACAGATGTCTGCCGCCAAACATGTACCTTTCCGACACTTGTGTACACGCGGCCCGACAAAGTCGCAGGCTCGGTTCATAGCTAGGGGAAACTGAAAGGCTTTATCAGTAGCTGGTGCTAGGAAGTGACTGCTTACTCTGGTAGGCACTGGGCTGGGCTTGGTGGCATACTTTTTTTTTTTTTTCCGAGATAGGATCTTGTTATGTAGCCAGGACTGGCTAGAAACTATATAGACCAGGCTGGCCTAGAACTCTTGAGATCTTCCTGCGTCTGCCTCCAGAGTACCTGTTAAGACTTAGGCCACCACACCCAGCTTTACACCTATAAAATCATTTCATCATCAAAGTACCGTCTTGAGGATTATCCTGTTTTAGAGCGGGAACCTCGAGGCCCAGACACAATTTGTGTTGGGTGTCTGAACCAGCGGAGTCAAGCCATGGCAGAACTCTTCACAGCTGCGGGGCACGAAACTACCATTCCAAACTACAGAGCTGGCTAGGGACGAAGACATTTTTCCACAGCGTATTATTGGCAAATCTTGGAGTACCTCCCAGGACGGCCTCCCCATCTTACCCTCTCAAGAGTACACCTAGCAGGGTGGGGAGGCTTGGCAGATGGCCACAGATTTCTATCAACACCGCTCTCCTTCCAGTCCTCGCCTGGGAGGAGACTCCAAACCAAATAGCACTCAGATTCAAAAGTGCCACCTCAGCTGCTTCAATCCCGCGCGCAAGCGAGGGCTGCGGGTCACCGGTGTGCACAAGGCACCATAAGGCGCCCAGTTATGCACGTGACCTTAAAATGAGACTCCAAGCCTCTGGGAGGAAGACAGGTATCAGCATCTCTGTTGTGTGGACCAGGAGACCTGATAAGAAACTTGTTCACTGACTCGGCAGTCACCCAATAAGGAAGAACGGTCCGGACGTCCGTCCCTCCCAGCCCGGCATTTCCGAAACACGTGCAGCAGTAGCCCTGTGCACTTTCAGGGGCGCCAAGGCTACATTCGCTCGCTGTTTTCTAGTGGGAAGAGACCACGAGGGACGGAGGGCCAACACCAGGCGGGGCCGCGGGCTGGAGGCCGGCCTTGCGGCAGCGGGACTCCAAAGACTCCTCAGACCCCCAGTCTCCAAAGCGGGCTCTGAAGAGCGCCACTGGAGGAGCGCAGGCCTCGGCCCACCCTGGACGTGCTTTGCGGGGCGCGGCCCGAGGGCCAGAGTAGGGAAACGCGAACCCACCTAGGTCCATGGCGGCGAAGCAGGCGGCGGGACTAGACCGCCCCTCCCACTCCGAGACCGCGAACGCAGCGCACGGCATAAAGGGCGGGGCTACAGGCGCGTCACAGGCACCGCCCACAGCGCGTCTGGGCTTCCGAGCGGCACTCCGCTGACCGGCTGCCGCTCCGTGCGCACGCGCCCTCCCTACTCCTCCTCAACGAACTCGCGGCGTCCGGGCCGCCCAAGCCCACAGCGCCCCCTTTCGACTCTAGGCTTCCCAGCCGTCTACCATCAGGTACCATAAGCAGGCTCCTGGCGGAATCTGTCCTCTTGAGGCCAGGTGGTCCAATTCCTTAGTCCAGACCTCTCACCTTCACCCAGGAACCCCGGGCAGCTCCCGCCCATAATTCTTCCCTACGAAATAGCCTTTCCCCGAGTTGCCCGCTAACCAGCAGTGGATCCACGGGGCTCACCTCTCCCGGTCCAGCCTCTGAGACACGCACAAACACCCAAATGCTTTTCATGCTGCACTGTCTTCTATAGGCAACAGCAACGTCAATTTTCAGGGCTCATGGGCGCCTTTGTAACTATGAAGGGCACTCACACTGGAAAAAGCACTGTGGGATAGGACCAATAGAATGGATTCCTGGGTTGCAACTTGTACTTTATCAAACACACACAGGTCTAATAATCAATCACCCGCTTTGCTTATTTCCAACTCTCTTCTAGTACTAGGTATCACTCAGAACAGAGAGGCTCAGCCTCTGGTGCACCAATGAGCCAAGTGGAGTTTGAAATGGCCTGCACATCTCTCAAGCAGCTGAAGGGTCCCGTGAGCGATCAGGAGAAACTGCTGGTGTACAGCTTCTACAAACAGGCCACCCTGGGCGACTGTAACATCCCTGTCCCTCCAGCCACAGATGTGAGAGCAAAGGCCAAATGGGAGGCGTGGAATGTGAACAAAGGGATGTCCAAGATGGATGCCATGAGGATCTATATTGCCAAAGTGGAGGAGCTGAAGAAAAAGGAGTGTGGCTAAGGACATGTTGGCCAACACAAGGAAGTCGCATGGCTTCACTGGTAGGGAATGGGCTTAAGAGTTCTGATGGCTGGAACACACTGAAAGGGTAACAAGGTTAGCGGAGACATCAATAAATCACCTTAACCGCAGGAGAGTGGAGTCTGTTACAAAAAAAGAAACTGTGAGGGGTCTGAAAAGGGGTTCAAATGTAAAAGCATCTCTGCTGGGTAAAACTCCTTTAATCTGGCTCTGTGTGGTCTGACTGGCACCAATACCCATCCTACCTATGTGGATGGATGGCAGACAGAAGTGGGGATGGGTGGGGTGCTTCATGCCATGAAAATGACCAAGGCTGGAAGTGGAGGCAGGACCTTGGATCTGTAACAATACAGAGGAGAAAGGGGCTCTGTCTTAACACTAAAATCAAACAGAAAATTGCTTATCTAGAACATAGGCCCCAGTGAAGTTAGATTTTGATGGAACTCAAACTTCAGTGACACAGGAATGAAGTAGCTCATGCATCACAACACAGCAGTTGAGGGACAATGGAGCAAGATGGTTTCAGGATCTGAGGCTCCACAAGACTCATCGGAGGCTTAGCAACCTAAATGTTCTTAGGATTGGTGTTCTTAATCTAGGTCTCTGCTTGGGCCCTGCTGGACAGTATGTATATAGGCACATGTGGGTCTTTGTCAGTCATTTCAGAGACATCAGTATGCTACCACGGTGCCTGGAAGCTTGCATATGAAGAGCTAAATAGAGTTCTTAAAGGACTCTACAGTAGCATGGCATTTCCAACACTTTTCTTTAAAACTTGTCTTCTGAGATACAGTCACTGCCTGGCAAATCTATTCACATAACAGCAAATTTCTAAAGGTGTTTTGTGTGTGTGTGTGTGTGTGTGTGTGTGGTTTGTTTTGTGTTTTAATTATTCAGGTTTTTGGGATAGGGCCTGGCAGGTCTGGAATTTACTGTGTAAACCCAGGCTGGCCTCAACTTTTAGAGATCCATCTGCTTCTTCATGAGTGCTAGGATAACAAGTATAAACCACCCATGATGGCTCTAGAGTATATTTTTTAATCATTAAAATATTTTATTATTGTGTGTACACTGTAGGTGTGGCTGGAGTGAGTATGCTAACAGTGTACGTGGAGGTCAGAACACAGCCTTATCTAGTTGGTTCTCTCCTCTGACCTTTATATAGGTTCATAGGAGCAAACTCAGGTTGCCAGGTTTTTGTGGTAAGTACTGCCACCTTTACCTACAGAACTATCTTGTGGGTCCTAAAGTGTTGGGTTGTTTTTTTTTTTAATTTTTGTTTTTGTTTTTTTGAGACAGGGTTTCTCTATGTAACAGCCCTGATTATCCTGGAACTTGCTTTGGAGACCAGGCTGGTCTTGAACTCTGCCTCTGCCTCCTAAGTGCTGGGATTAAAGGTGTGCGCCACCAAGACAAGTCAGCACATTTTTAAATAGTCCTTTTTTTCTTATGAATTAGAGGGTCTACGTAGTTTCAGACTAGCAGGGACAACATGAGACCTTGCTTCAAAACCAAACAAAACCTTTTCCAAAAATCTTTAATGACAAATGTACTCAATAAAACTGTTTTTAATGATATAAAGATATCAGCCTAAACAGAAAACATTTCTCCAGGCTGAAGAAATACTCTACTCCATTTTAGAGGACTAAGACCACTTTATAAAGTAGTACAGACCCAAGCACACAGAAATGTGACTCACTCAACACTGTGTTCATTAAACTTCTCCTGTTTCCTCTGGTTATTCAAAATGTAAAATCAAATCAAAGTGAGAATATTACCCGGATCTGTTTTTTGGCTGTTTTTTTGTTTTGTTTTGAGACAGGGTTTCCCTGTGTAGTCCTGGCTGTCCTAGAACTAGCTTTGTAGAACAAGCTGGCCTCAAACTCACAGACATCTGCCTGAGGACTGGGATTAAAGGTATGTGCTACCACCCAGCTCCCAGATATTTTTTATCCAAAGGGTAATTTTTCTTAATCTTTATGGGTGTTTCCCCTGCATATATGTCTGTGTAACATGAATATGTGGTGCCTTCAGAGGCATTAAGAGAGTATTGGAACCCCTGGTTCTAGAATTACAGAAAGAACAGACATGTGGGTGCTGGGATCAAACTCAGTCCTCTAGAAGAGTGACCAGTACTCTGAAGCACCAAGCCATCTCTTTGGACCCAGAATAAAATTTCTTAAAAACAAAGAAAGAAAGAAACATCAAAAGCCTAGACTAGTAACATTCATCTACAATCCCAGCACTGGAGGCTGAGGTAGGAAGATCAAAAGTTCAAAGGGTAAAGTGGCTTGTGCCTTTGATCCCAGCAGGAGGCAGACAGGTAGGTCTCTGAGTTTGAGGCCATCTAGTTGACATAGCTGCAGGTCAGTCAGGGCTACAAAGTTAAAAGCTACCTTGAGTTCCATGGTGAAGTGATACTATGTGTCTTCTTGTATATCAGGAGAGACTGTCTTGGAACTCCAAAGGAAATACTTCTTTAAATGCCAAGACTTCCATAGGAAGATCCATCAAGACCTGGAAACACGAGCACTCTAAAGCAGTTGGTTCGGCTTTTTTGGATTTAAGACAGGGTCTTTCTATATAGTCCTGACTAGCCTTGAACTCTGAGATCCTTGACTCTATCTCCCAAGTGCTGGAACTAAAGGCATGCGCCACCATGCCCAGCTAGTTTGGCTTTCATCTGAACATTTTTTCCAATATTATCTACATGATTCACAGCTAATCAAATTTTCCACTACCCTCAGCCAAGGGTAATGTTCCATAGAGCTATCTCAGGCTGGACAATAAGTTGTTACCAAATTTCATACAATTACATACAGGAGTTCACCACTACTGAGAATGATAAAAAAAAAAACAAAAAACATTTCATTTCTAGAACATAACAAAGCTTTGAAGAGTGAAACTACCCCATGAGCCTCTTGTCTGTGCTGGACACAGTGTTCATGTAAACAGCCGTACTGGACTCAGACGCCAGACTGGAGTTTAAGCGCTGCTCTCGCATGTCTTCCATTAACCCGAAGCCTTTGGTTTATTTCTCGTGGCAAACCACTCATCACTTTTGTCTGCAGCCATTGCCTATGGAAACAGATGGACAGACATCAATCACTCCAAGTCTGCATTCTCCACTGTGATATTAGCACTAAAGCAAGTTCATCTGTGTAGAATGTTGTTCACTGTAACAGGAGAGCTAGTGTGTACCCAGCAGTCGCTTGGTGATTCCAGTTCAAGTCCCAGTATCACCACCAAAAAGTGTCACAGCCAGGCATGATGGAATACACCTTTAATCCCTGCACTTGGGAAGCAGAGGCAGAGGAATCTCTGAGTTCAAAGTCAGCCTGGTCTATAAAGCGAGTTCCAGGATGGCCAGTGCTATACAGAGAAACCCTGTCTTTAAACAAACAAACAAAAAAACAAAAAACAAAACAAAGTCAGGCCAGGCAGTGGTGGCGCAAGCCTTTAATCCCAGCACTCGGGAGGCAGAAGCAGGCGGATCTCTGTGAGTTCGAGCTAGTTCCAGGCAGGCTCCAAAACCACAGAGAAACCCTGTCTCGAAAAACAAAACAAAACAAAACAAAACAAAACAAAAAACACAAAGTCGGGCAGGGGCTCACATCTTTAATCTCAGTGCTCGGGAGGCAGAAGTAGGCGGACCTCTGTGAGTTCGAGGCCAGCCTGGTCTACAATAGCTAGTTCCAGGACAGGCTCCAAAGCTACAGAGAAACCCTGTCTTGAAAAAACAAAATGTTTGCCTCTATAAGTCATTTAGATGTTTGGTAAGAAAACTTTTATTCAATCAAAAAGCAAATATGAGCCGGGTAGTGGTGGTCCACACATTTAATCCTAACACTCAGAAGGCAGAGACGGGAATGTCTGTGAGTTTGAGGCCAGCCTAGTCTACAAAGTGAGCTCCAGGAAAGCCAGAGCTGTTAAACAGAGAAACCCTGTCTTTTGGGGGCTGGAGAGATGGCTCAGCAGGTAAGCATATGTACTGCTCTTGCAGAGGGCTGGAGTTCATGTCCCAGCATCCACGTAAAGATGCTCACAGCCACCTGTAACTCTAACTCTAGGGGAACTAACACTGCATCTTGCACCACAGAGGCACCTGCATGTGTGCCATATGCTCATACACACACACAAGGAAATGGTAATAAAAATAAATCTTTTATTTAAAATTGAGTTTTTATCATGCACTAGGTAATATACTGAGTCCAGGTATATGACAGGAGTGACAATCTAGATTTTAGGAACTATACTGAACAGCTACGGAATTACATAGAAAGTTACTTTTGGGGGACCAGAGAGATGGCTCAGCAGTTAAGAGCACTGGCTGCTCTTCCAGAGGCTCTGGGTCAATTCTCAGCACCCACATGGCAGCTCACAACAGTCTGTAACTCCAGTTTCAGGGAATCTGACACTTTCACACCAATGCACATAAAATAAATTTAAATTATTTTTTAAAAGTTACTTTTCAAAAAAAAGTATATGTGCTTTGAGGTATTTACTATAAAAGACCCATAAAGTCCTATCAGATTAAAGGGTAGGAAACAATAAATAGTTGGAGAAATAGTCAGAAATACTCATCTACACCAGGAGGAAATGACAAGATAATGTTTACATTAGGAAACATAACAAAAAACAAACAAATAAATACATACACACATACATAAATGTATGTATGTATGTATGTATGTATGTATGTATGTATGTATGTTTGTGATTTGGCAATAGTGAAGCTGAAGGTGACTAACCTTGGCAGTGGACTTAAAAAATGGACTAAGATAAGGCTATATTTCTTTACATGAAATCTTAGATCTAGCCAGCCTGGTGGTGGACACCTGCAATACCAGCACTCAAGGGGAGAAGTAGGAAAATTGCCAGTTACTACATAAATCCCTGCCTAAATAAGTAATAATCAAGTTTTTATTATTTGAATGAAAATATAAAGAACTTAAACCGTAAAGCATTATTAAAAAAACAACTGCCTGCCAGGAAGTGGTGGCACACATCTTTAATCCCAGTACTCAGAAAGCAGAGGCAGGTGGATCTCTGGGGATTTGAGGCCAGCCTGGTCTATATAGTGAGTTCCAAGACAGTCGGAGCTGTTTACACAAAGAAACCCTGTCTTGAAAAATCAAAATCAAACCAATAACCTAATAACCTCCCGAGAACTGGAAGAGATGTTTCTGTTTTAGCAGTCATAAAGGATGGGGGAAAGAACAATTAACTTTGGCTAGGAGGATCCAAGAGAACCTCTCCATTCTAAAGTACCAGCTCAAAAAGAGAAAAACACTTTGAGTAGAGACTAGAGTATTTTTGTTACTATAAGCAGTGCAGTGAGATCGGAATAGAGCTGAGCTAAGGGCTTTCAAGAGATAAAGACGGGTCAGAGAGTAGATAAGGGCCAGTCAAGTGAAGAATGTATCTGGGAGGCAGCAGAGAATTGGGAGATTAGTTTAAAACTCACTGGATTTCAAAAGCAGTGCCAAAAGACGAGAGATATCTCAGAAATAGAACTCAGCTTTTGGTGAATAATGGCAAACAGAATTTAAGAGAAAACCAAAATAAGTGAGAAGAAACTGCATCAAAGTGGCTGTGTATAGAAACTGAAAACTATCCTAGGGCTGGCAAGCTGGCTCATGAGGTAAAGATACTTTCTGAGTTTGATCCCCAGGACTCACGTAGTCGAGGGAGAGAACACAAGTGCTCTCTGACCTCCATCACATGCCATGGCCTGCATGTGCAGTGAATAAATAAAATGTAAAAAAATCTTCAAAGACTAAAACTACTGTAGAGTAAAAAGTAGATTCAAAGCAAAACAGAAACAGCTCTGAGAAGTCCTAGCTTGAACAGCTGGGATATTAGGAGATATCAGTCTTTGTTTGTTTTTGAGGAAGGATCGCTCTCTATAGCCCTAGCTGTCCTGGAACTTGCTATGTAGACCAAGCTGGCTTTGAATTCACAGTGATCCTCCTATCTCTGCCTCCCAAGCATTGGGAATATACCCAGCAAGATCTCTTTTGCCCACAGAAAGGACCAGGGTGCATAGAAAGGAAAGAATTGATTATAAAATCCTCAAAGAGCTCCATCCAAGTCCCTGTCTCCCACTTACTAAATATCTGATAGCCGTGAGTGACTAATTTTTCTGAGCCTTAGTTTCCTTACAGGCTGTGACTCACAGAATCTAGAGTTAGAGAGTATACACACAGCACTTACGGGCATGTCAAAGCACACCAGGTGTGGTGGTGCACACTTTTAGTCCCAGCACTGAAGAGGCAGGTGGTTCTCTGTGAGTTCCAGGCTAGTCTGGTCTACATAGTATAACAAGGCTGGAGACCTTAGCACAACTGATTCCATGGGCAGAAGGCTGTAAAACTCAGCAAATAGCACCGCCAGCCAACACTAAAACAAAGGCCTAATCCATCAAAGTCACAGTTCTGAGAAAGTCTCTAAATGTACTATCCTTGCTTTTTGGCTTCTGCAGTTCTGCTTCTGGATAACTGTTCTTGTTAACTGACAATGAAGTATGTCAACCCAGGACATATTTTTTGTGCTTAAAAGCTCATTCTGAGAAAGGCTCGGGGCTATACTGGGACTCCGAACACCCAATGTAGTTGCCATCCAGTTAAAAGACTTTCTATTGGCTTAAACTAACTGTGTTTGAGCAGTCTTCTCTGGTGAATACCCCACCACAATAGTGAGTGCCAGGACAGCCAGGGCTACATACTGAGACCCTGTCTTGAAAAAACCAAAACCAAAGAATAAAAGAATATGCCAAAGCTAGGCATAGTAGCTCAAACCTGCAATCCCACTACTTGGGAAGTTAAGGCATGGTGAATGCTTAGAATTTGAGAACAACCTATTAACCACACTGAGTTCTAAGACCCTGTCTAAAGAAATAAGCCAACAGGGATAGGGAGATAACTCAATGGATAAGAGCACTTGCTCTGCAAACATGAAGACCTGAATTCAGATACCCTAGTAAAAAGCATGGCTGCACTTTGCTGTTCCCACAGTGCTGTGAGGCAGAGATAGGCTGATCATAAGAACTTGCTGGTTGGTAGGCTAGCCAGCTAGCTATCAGGAATCACAAACTTCCAGTTCTCAAGGAAACATGGTGGAGAGTGATAGAGGAAGACACATAATGTCCTGCTTTGGCTGCGTTGGCTTCTCACATGCACACACGCACACACAAGTAGAATCTAACATGGAGAGAGAGAGAGAGGGAGAGAGAGAGCGAGAGCGAGAGCGAGAGCGAGAGAGAGAGAGAGAGAGAGAGAGAGAGAGAGAGAGAGAGATAGAGAGAGTGATCTTGAAATTCATTGTCATCCTCAGCTACACATCAAGTTCAAGGCCAGCCTCTTTGACGCAGAGAGTTCCAGGACAGCCAGGTTTGCACAGAGAAATATTGCCTCAAAAGACAATACGTAACAAAAGAAACAAAAATTTAACAGGTTGGGTGTGGGATGATTGCTCAGTAGTTAAAGTGCACTCTCCATGTAAGCTTGATGGACAAGAAAGAGTTCAAATCCTCAGGCCCTGTGAAATAGCTGATGCAATCAGGTATCCGTAACCCCAGTTACGGCAGGATGGAGACAGAGGGAGAATGTCTGTGAGCTCAAAGTCAACTGCTGAAGGAGCTCTGACAAGATCCTATCTCAAAGAAGACAGAAGACTGAATGCTGTCCTCTGACGTGCACATATGCACTGTGGCATGTGTAGCATGTACTCACACTCCACTCACACAGGTGCACACACACATCTAAACACACGCCAGACATACACACACAAAGATAAAACTATACATATGTGCATGTGTGTATATATATGTGTGTGTGTATATATACATATATATGTATATATATACATAGTCTTGTTTTTCTTTAAGTGTATGGTACAT